TCTTCCGCCTGCGCTCCAGAGAATACAGATTTAGGCTCTTTAGTCGGTCCCAATAGTTTAGATGTTTTACTGAGAGGATTCTAGCAGTAAAGGATCTCTGCACGCTCTCCAGGTCAGCAATTTCTCCAGCTTTGAAAGGGGCTGTCATTGTGCAGCAGTACTCCACTCTAGAGAGCACAAGCGTCTTGAAAAGTATCATCATCGGTATAGCATCTCTAGTGTGAAAGGTTCTTGTTATCCAACCTGTCATTTTTTTGCAAGTGTGACGGCTACTTTATTGTGTTCTTTAAAGGTTCTTTAAAGGTTCTTTGTGTTCTTTAAATCTTCTGCCTTGATTACACCCAAATTATTTACATTAATTTTACGTTCTATGTTATGATTTGACTGAGTTTTGTACTTAGTTTCCGTTTTTATATTTTTATTTTTTCCATAGCGCATGAGCTGGAACTTATCTTCATTAAACACCATATTATTTTTTTAATTTTGCCCCGAGGGGCGAGTTTATTGGGCAGCGCCACTCATCCTGTGAGTGGACACACCGCCATAGTGACAGTATTGGGCAGCGTCACTCATCCTGTGAGTGGACACACCGCCATAGTGACAGTATTGGGCAGCGTCACTCATCCTGTGAGTGGACACACCGCCATAGTGACAGTATTGGGCAGCGTCACTCATCCTGTGAGTGGACACACCGCCATAGTGACAGTATTGGGCAGCGCCACTCATCCTGTGAGTGGACACACCGCCATAGTGACAGTATTGGGCAGCGCCACTCATCCTGTGAGTGGACACACCGCCATAGTGACAGTATTGGGCAGCGCCACTCATCCTGTGAGTGGACACACCGCCATAGTGACAGTATTGGGCAGCGCCACTCATCCTGTGAGTGGACACACCGCCATAGTGACAGTATTGGGCAGCGCCACTCATCCTGTGAGTGGACACACCGCCATAGTGACAGTATTGGGCAGCGCCACTCATCCTGTGAGTGGACACACCGCCATAGTGACAGTATTGGGCAGCGTCACTCATCCTGTGAGTGGACACACCGCCATAGTGACAGTATTGGGCAGCGCCACTCATCCTGTGAGTGGACACACCGCCATAGTGACAGTATTGGGCAGCGTCACTCATCCTGTGAGTGGACACACCGCCATAGCAGCATGTACAACACTCCCCAATAGGAAGAAAACCCGCTGGGTTGTTCATCCTGTCACTTGTACCCAGACACAGCTGGGACTTGCTTAACTGTCTCAAGTGAACATGTCCGAGGTTATGGAGATGCTGTGATGCCATATATTTTGTGATCTTATTACTTATCTCTCTTTCAATGAGTTATATGATGTGTGATGTTAGTGTTATCGGCCTATAGTTTATTGCCTCTGCTTCATTTCCTCCTTTACTCCGAATATATCTAAACTCCGTCTCCAAAAATAAATTAGGGCCTGCGATAGTGTTTTTTTCGTGGCAGTTTTTGATGAATATGGAGCTCCAAGAATCAGGGCCTGGTGCAGAGTGCATAGACATACTGTCTATGGCTACTTCAAAATCCAGTGGAGTTAGGGGTGACATCTTATATATAATTTGATGTTGGCATCACATCCATGAAGAATTCGTTTGGGGTTATCAATCTTTAGTGTGTTTAAGAGCTCACAGAAAACGGAATGGTACTGTTACCTCAGTATTTCCTCTCACTTCTTTGTTGTCAACTGTGAAAGTTCCATCTCCCTTACGCAGGGACCCGATACTGTGCTGGGTGAGAACTGTGGCAGGAGAGGTTATGAGGGAGGGGAGAGGAGGGGAGAGGAAGGGAGGAAGAAGACAGAAGGGAGCGAAGTTTTGGAGTCTGGATCAGACCTCAAGTGGAATTAATTAATTGACAAGTGGTTGATCAGACATGACGTGTGAGGGAGGCAGGTGTGAGGGAGGCAGGTGTGAAGGAGGCAGGTGTGAAGGAGGCAGGTGTGAGGGAGGCAGGTGTGAGGGAGGCAGGTGTGAAGGAGGCAGGTGTGAGGGAGGCAGGTGTGAAGGAGGCAGGTGTGAGGGAGGCAGGTGTGAAGGAGGCAGGTGTGAGGGAGGCAGGTGTGAGGGAGGCAGGTGTGAAGGAGGCAGGTGTGAGGGAGGCAGGTGTGAGGGAGGCAGGTGTGAAGGAGGCAGGTGTGAGGGAGGCAGGTGTGAAGGAGGCAGGTGTGAGGGAGGCAGGTGTGAGGGCTGCCAGGACCTGGAGCGCCACAATAAGGTCACCGCCGGACCGGTCCGGGACCAAAAGGTCAGTGTGATGCAACATATAATAAGGTGAACGCTTACACGGTATGCAGGCCGGGGGGGGGGGGGTGTTGCAGGCCGGGGGGGGGGGGGGGGGGGGTGTTGCAGGCGGGGGGGGGGGGGGGGGGGGGTGTTGCAGGTGGGGGCCGGGGGGGGGGGGGGGGTGTTGCAGGCCGGGGGGGGGGGGGGTGTTGCAGGCCGGGGGGGGGGGGTGTTGCAGGCCGGGGGGGGGGGG